CACTGGAAGCTCCAGGCAGCTCAGACATTTGGCTAAGAGGTGCTTCCCCGGGAAAACTGGGGTGGGAGGCCACGTTGCACTCAGACTCCCCAAGCCCCTGGTTTGTCTCCTTCGGGCAGGTCTCTTTCTCCTCCATGGAGGAAGCAGTAAGCCGTGCCTGTGCCCAGGAAGGTCCAGCTCACAACAGCGTGGGGCGTGGGAGCAGGACCACAGGCGCAGTGTGGTTCAGATCCCTCATTCTGAGCACAGCTTTTCCACCTCCAGTTTGGTGTCGTGATTAAGTGGGCAGACTCTTATCTAGGAGAACCGCATTTGATTCCCCACTCCTCCACTTGCACCTGCTGGATGACCTTGGGCCAGCCACAGTTCTGTCAGAGCTGTTCTTGAAAGAGCTTTCTCAGCCCCACCCACCAAGGGTGTCTCCTGTGGGGAGGGGAAGGGAAAGGAGTTTGTAAGATGCTCTGAGACTCCGTGTGAAGGGTGGGGTGTACACCCAATCTCCTCCTCCTCTTCTCCTCCTCCTCCCCCTTCCCTCTGCAGCTTGGTGTGCTCCTTGCCCCTCCCCCTCTTGTCTTCACGGCCTCCCTGTGAGGTAGGCCAGGCTGGCTGGAGAGCTGGTCCCCTGGTGCTCTTCTGGGCTTTCCCAGCTAACCCTACCATTGCCGCGGCCTTTTGCCGTTCTCACCCCTGGTGTCTCCCCCTGCCCAAAGTCAGACCGTGGACGTGTTCCCTCTAAGCTGCGTTCGTGTGAGCTAGCTCACAGTTTTTAAGCCTCCGGCTCACACATTTTTGTCTCGGCTCCGGAAGGATGGTTCCAGAGCAAACTAATTTACGCAGTAGCCAAACGGCTCGCTCACAACTTTAACGCCAGCAGCTCACAAAGTAGAATTTTTGCTCACAGGGCTCCACAGCTTAGAGGGAGCCTTGCTGTGGGACCCCCCCCCCCTTGAACAGAGAAACTATCCTTTCTGCTTTGACTCTGTAGACGTGCCCCCCCCCCCAGCGTGTCGGTGAGCTACAAAGACAGTAGTGCAAAAAACGCTCAAGATTTGAAGACATGGTGGGGGAAGGGGGGGGGAGGGTCTCCGCCTCCGAAGGTTTAAGGGGACCTTGTCAGAAAGGTGGATCTCTGCTGCCACCTGGTGTCTGGCGACGACCAAATACACTGAAGGCGGCAGGAAGCAGCACCAAGAGCAGACCCACACACACACACAGACACACCCCACCAAGAGGCCTGCTTGGCAAGGAACACAAGGGAGGAACAGCCCTCGGAATTCATACACCACTCCCACAGTGCTCGGCACGGCATTCTTGCTGCGATCTTCACAACTCCCTGGTGAGGTGGGTCAGTACGGTGCAGGCGGGGCAAGGGCCGGCAGAGAGAGGCTTTCCGGAGGCTTCCTCGGGCAGCTGGGAAAAATGCTCGAGGTCTCAGCAGGTGTGCTGCACCCTCCCCGCGCCAGAAGCAAATCTAGGCGTGCCAGCCCAGATCGTTGACACCCCCTCGGCATTAACGCCTCCCATTCTTGCCCCCTTCATTCAACCCAAAATTCAGATCACCGAACCCAGATCACAGGAGGGCCGGTGGGGAAGCCACTGAAGGAGAAGTTTAAGTGATTTAAGCCCACCCCCTCCTTGGTGGAGGGACCACGTTATAAGATGTCGTTTCTGATTCCCTGTTGAAGCGCGTAAGAACCAAAATAAAGTGCCTCTGAGTAGCAGCCCCACAAATCGAGTCTTAGTTGGTTAATCGGTAAAGGTTCCCTTGCTCGAAAGCCAGTCGAATCCGACTCTAGGGTTGCGGTGCTCATCTCCGTTTCCAAGCCGAAGAGCCAGCGCTGTCCGAAGACGTTTCCATGGTCATGTGGCCGGCACGACTAAACACCAAGGCGCACGGAACGCTGTTCCCTTCCCACCGAAATGGTACCTATTTATCTACTTGCAATTTCTTGCTTTTGAACTGCTAGGTTAATCTGTACAGCAAACCAATTAGCCACGATCCACCTCCGGCTGTCCTCCCAAATCTCAAGCGGGCGACACCAATTTAGGAACAACATATGTATCCGTTCAAGGAAGTGATCCGATACAGCATTTAAGGGTTCGGGGGGGGGGCAGTTGCAAAAAGCGAAATGCAGTGCTGAAAGGCACTGCATTTTGCTTTTTGCAACTGCCCCCCCCAACCCTTAAATGCTGTATCGGATCACTTCCTGGAACTCACCCCCAGTCTACACCCCAGCTCACGTATGAAACGCAGTCCAGTCCTAGACTTGCCAATGAGGAATGAGGCAGCTGCTTTGAAGCAGCCAACGAGTTTCACCAAGAGACTCTGCAGAGAGAGGCCTGGGAAGAAGAGGAGGAGATTGGATTTATACCCCGCCTTCACTACCCAAAGGTGTCTCAGAGCAGCTGACAAACTCCTCTCCCTTCCCCTCCCCACAACAGACACCCTGGGAGGTGGGTGGGGCTGCTGAGAGAACTCTGACAGAAACTGCTCTTTTTCAAGAACATCTCTTATCAGAACTACGCCTTGCCCAAGGTCATCCAGCAGCTGCGAGTGGAGGAGTGGGGAATCAAACCCGGTTCTCCCAGATTAGAGTCCGCGCACTTAACCAACTGCTTTGGTTACTCATGGTATGAATAACATGGAGCAGAGGTCCATCAGTGGCTATTAGCCACAAGGTATAGATAGGAACTCTGGGGCAAGGGATGCTCTGTCATCTTGGTGCTTGGGGGGGGGTCAACAGTGGGAGGGCTTCCAGTGTCCTGGCCCCACTGGTGGACCTCCTGAGGGCACCTGGTATTTTTGGCCACTGTGTGACACAGAGTGTTGGACTGGATGGGCCTGATCCAACACCGGCTTCTCTTATGTTCTTATAAGGGGGAATTAGATAAGCATATGGAGCAGAGGTCCATCAGTGGCTATTAGCCACAAGGTATAGATAGGGACTCTGGGGCAAGGGATGCTCTGTCATCTTGGTGCTTGCAGGGGGGGGTCAACAGTGGGAGGGCTTTTAGTGTCATGGCCCCACTGGTGGACCTCCTGATGGCCCCTGGTATTTCTGGCCACTGTGTGACACACAGAGTGTTGGACTGGATGGGCCACTGGCCTGATCCAACATTGGCTTCTCTGATGTTCTTATGAATAGCTGCTTAGAGTGACCTTTGAGATAGGAGCATCCTCCTTCCCTCCCTCCCAAGGAAAAGAACGCAAGAGGTGACAGAAGTCCACTTGCCACCGAAGGACCAGTTCCTGAGAGGGAGGGCAGGAAGGGCTGCCTCAGTGCTTAGTTCCCGTGGCCCTTTCTTACGCGCCCAGGGAAATGCCGATCGCCCCTTTGGCGATCCCCGGTTTGGCCGGGGAGCCTGTTTTTGTCGTCTTCTGGGCATGAAAAGCAGGGGTCACGGCAGGTGTGGAGCAGTGCTCCCTCTAAGCTGAGTTAGTGTGAGCTAGCTCACAGCTTTTTTTGCCTCCGGCTCACAGATGTTTGTCTCAGCTCAGGAAGGAGGGCTCCAGGGCAAATGAATCTATGCAGTAGCCCAATCCCTCGCTCACAACTTTAATTCCAATAGCTCACAAAGTAAAATTTTTGCTCACAGGACTCCACAGCTTAGAGGGAACATTGATGTGGAGGTGGAGGTATTTGTGAACTTCCTGCAGGGGGTTGGGCTAGATGACCCCGGAGGTCCCTTCCAACCCTAAGATTCTACCCCCAAGAGCACTGGAATGGGGGTGGGGATTATTTGGCTTTTCCTGTTTGGTGTTTTCCCCAGCGAGGGTTCCCTGCTGTGCCATGGGGAAAGGCCTTAACATCGTGGCCCTGGCCCTTACACCAACATCACCACCGACTGGACAGCTAGCAGCCTGGCGGGAGCCCGGACTAGGGTGCAGGCGGTCCCTCAAGGTGGACAGAATGTCGCCGTCTCTCATGACAGCATGTGCTGAGCGGCTATGTTTTTTACTGTAATTTTAACTGGTCTTATTTATGTGTAAAAAAAAGGTAAAGGTTTCCCCTTGCTCGAAAGCCAGTCGAGTCCGACTCTAGGGTTGCGGTGCTCATCTCCGTTTCAAAGCCACAGAGCCAGCGCTGTCCGAAGATGTTTCCGTGGTCATGTGGCCGGCATGACTAAACACCGAGGCGCACGGAACGCTGTTCCCTTCCCACCGAAGTGGTTCCTATTTATCTACTTGCAATTTCTTGCTTTCGAACTGCTAGGTTGGCAGGAGTTTTAATGTAAATACATTGATATATATGTTGTTAGCCGCCTTGAGCCCACCATATGGTGGGGAGGGCGGGATAGACATTTAATAAATAATAATAGTAATAATAATAACAGAGTGGAGGGGGGGGGAGTGATAGCAGCCCAGGGGTCACACACCCTCCCGCCCCGACCTGCTTGAGCCGACTGGTCCCTCTAAGCTGAGTTAGTGTGTGCTAGCTTACAGATTTCTAGCCTCTAGCTCACAGAGTTTTGCCTTCACTCAGGAAGGGACAGCTCCGGAGCAAACTAGATAATGCAGCAGCCAAATCGCCCGCTCACAACTTTCATGCCAGTCGCTCACGAAGTAGACGTTTTGTTCGCAAGACTCCACAGCATAGAGGGAACATCGCTCGAGTCTCACACCAGGCTGTGCTTCTGCGCAACGGTGCAGGAGGATCTGGGGCCACTCAGCTCTCACCGGCACCCTCGGGGGGGGGGTCTTCACAGGAGGGAGGCAAAGGAGAGCTAGAACCGCAGCCAAATCTCTAAGGAGCCAGAAACACATTGAGCAGCACCGAAAAGAAGGGCTTCCCCGCAGAAGTGTTCAGGAGAAGAGAGCGTTGTCGGCAGTGGGTCACACCCTGTGCCAGCCCACGGCCCCGGTCCTTCAAGCGGCCCAAAGCGTGTGCCACTCGGGCACAGGGCAGCAGCCTCAGCACGTCCACCCGCCAGCCTCACTGGCACTGCTGCACCGTCTCCCGCCCTGGCCCCGGTCCAACCAAACCCAGCTGAAAGCCGACAAAAAGATCCCATCGTTCCGTGCCGGGCCGCGGAGGGCGTCACGCGTTCACTCCAAGCCAGGGCCCCAAAGCAATCTGCAGGAGAGCTCCGTCCTCGCCACCTTCACATCCTGCCGAAAGCCTCCAGCACTTCCGCTTTGAGGGACTGCAGCGAATGGGCGCGTATCCCGGAGGCCCCGATGTCCGTCTCCCAGCACTCAAAGCCGCAGTCGCCGAGGTCTCGGATGGCGGCCTCCACCACCGAGGGGGCCGTGTCTGCCGAGAAAGGACGGTTCCTGTTAGCACAGGGGATACTCAAAAAAGCTACGGAGGTCTCAGCCTTCAGGGTGGTGCTTTCCTCCACTGCAAAGAGCCTCGAGGCCACGGGCCTCCTCTTTGCCAGGGGAAGCACAGCATGCAGCAGAACAAACCCACTGGACCAAAACCGGACAGATTTTCCTAAGAATTCAAAGCCTCTCACATCCGGACTGTGCCTCTCCTACACCAGGAACGGCTGTGTCCTGTTTCGTCTAAGACCCAACCGCTGCCTCCGTGTAAAGGAGACCAGTATAGCTCTCCTCCTCCTCCTCCTCACAACAACCCTGTCAGGTGGGTGAGGCTGAAGGTGTGCAGCTGGTCCAAGGTCACCCAGCCAGCTTCCACGGCAAAATAAGGATTCGAACTGGGGGTCTCCCCGATGGTCTGACACTCTTACCCACCATACCACCCTGTACGGGCAGACAGAGGCTAGGAAATTCACAGCCCTCCAAAAGCCAGTTGGGGAAATCAAGATGGGGTGAAACGGGCCTGCATCAGCTAGGGGGCCCCGCTCTGCCCACCCCTCCTTTCCCTGACCTGGCACCTGAAGGGGCCGTTCTTCTCCACTGCCTCCGGGTATTGCTGCCACCACTGCCCCTGTCTGGGGCTCTGGTTAAGCGGGGCAGCCTCCTAATCTCCCTCCGGTGTCACTAGCCTTGGGGCTCCCTTGCAATCTTCGGGGCTCTCCTGGAGAGTTGGCAGCTTATGGTTTTGCCCCTGTTCTCCTCTGTAGGAATTCCCTGACCCACCCCTGGCATGTCCAAGCAGCCGGGGGAACTACACGGTACAGAGGGACTTCTCCCCATCAACAGTAAAAGGATTTATTTGAAAACTAACTATTTACAGGCATCTCCACAGTGAACTGAAGAATCAAAAATAAAGGGTGACAAAACCGCTCCATGTCTAGATGGTCTGCAGGGCAGGCTAGAGATGTGAAGGCCCGGGGAAAAAATGGAAACATTCGGGATAAACCAGGTTTTTTTCGTTTTTTTTCCGAAAACTTGAAAAAGGAAAAGGAAAAAAAAATGATTATGGAACGTTTTATTTTAACATGATGAATAAAATATTTTAGGACAAGGTGTTCAAATATTTTCCAAATCATTTCTAAAAAATATGTATGGTATCAGATGGATCTAATTTCTGTGCACTGAGGACAAGCAAGTCCTAGGTTACAAACTGAACTCTCCAATGCAAGAGCAGGATGCATTTCTTCCTTTAGGAGGTGCGATTGTCACATGAAAAGAAAAAGGTTTCAGTTCTGTTTTTGCATGTGGGTGGGTATTCTGGTTGTAATAATTGTTTGGATACACTATATTTTTAATATGCCAAGTAAAAATAGTCATATTTTATGTTCCTAAAGTAACAGAATGACTTTCAATCTGGAAAAGAAAAAAGAAGTGCTAATGTAGCATTTTTTTCAATTTTTCAGAAAATGTCCTTCCCCTCCCAAAAAAAAAACGGGGAAAAAACTGTTTTTTTCCTGAGCTTCAAAATTTCCAGAAATTTTACATCTCTAGGGCAGGCACATGACTTCATTTACTGGAGAAGGTTAGATCGGCATGTCTCCCAACATGGCCTCTGCCTCCTGCAGACTCCAACCGACTGTCTGACTGACTCCAGACTTCTGACTGAACGGCCTCCTGCCCCAAACTCCACTATCTAAAACAGCAGTCTCCCGCCCGGGCACTGGCTCTCCCTCCTGCAGCATTCTGGGGTAGATCTCCTCCCAACCTTGATGGGCTTCCAGTCCTCTCTCGGGAGACTAGGCCAAGGCCTACCTCAAGTTGGATGGCCTCCTCCTATCCGGCTCACACCAACTTAAACATATACACAAAATGGCGTTTCTCCACACAAGACAAAGGTGGAATTCGAACTAGGCTTGCCCTTTGGTAGCTTAACGACTGCGTGGCTACGGCAAGCACACAAGACGGACAAACACTTGCGACTGAGCGCGAGACTGCAAGGACCCCTCACCGGGTCGCAGCAAGGTGATGGCACAGCCTCCTCCACCGGCCCCCGTCAGTTTGCTGTGCAGGCCGTGCGAGGCGGTCACCTGGCAGACCTTGTCCAGCGAGGAGTGGCCCACGCCCATCACGTTCAGGTGGTGCTGATTGATGTCCACGAGCTCCTGCCGAAAAGGAGACCCTGGTTACTTGCAGGGAGGGGCCTCCGAACACCTGCGACACCTGTTCCTACTCTGGCCGCCGATCTCACAGGCCACGGCGGCTTCCTGAGTCCTCCCATGAGGAACATGAAGGCCAGGAAAGAGATCAACGATCCCCCCACCCCCGAAGACTTCCCAGTTCTTCCAATCAGGAAAACTGAGAAATGTTGGGAGCCTTCTAGGAAAGGCCCTCTTCTGGAATGGGTGGGATGCTCTGATGATGAGGTTTGACTCACACAAAACACATGGCAGGAAAACCTTTCCCCCAAAACAATCTGCAGCAACTGACAATCATAACTCTTATCTATGCGGCAAATATAACATTGATGTTTCTTGAAATGTGAATGGGGAGAGGCCAGGCCCTTGGCTCAGTGGCAAACCCTCTGCTTGGCATGCAGGAGGTCCCCGGTTCAATCCCCGGCATCTCCAGTGAAAAGTACCAGGCAGGAAGTGATGGGAAAGACCTCAGCCTGAGACCTGGGAGAGCTGCTGCCAGTCTGAGTAGACAATACTATAATTGATGAACCAAGGCTCTTGGGTTTAGTATGAGGCAGCTTCATATGCTCATGTGCTCTTTTACAGTTCCGCCCTGCCCGTAAGACGGAGCTCTTCCACCAGACTTTCAAATAAGGAGCCGCCCCCACTCCAGAGCTCTGGCCACTATAGAGTCCTGGCCCTTGGCTTTTGACATCTAGCCTATGCCGCCCTGTTTTAGGGAGATTGTGAGCAGAAGGATTGTTAGATCTGCGGGCACATTTTAAAGTACACCATCGTAAATAATTAACTGGTCATCACCGGCACTTTATGAATCTGAATTTATAACCTGAACTGTTTTAGATGATTTTATGTGGTTTTTAATTGTTATTTATGTATTGACTTGCATATTGATTGACGTGAGCTGCCCTGAGCCTGCTCTGCGGGGAGGGCGGGGTACACATTAAACCAATAAATAAATATGTTTTGGTGGCTCAGTGGCAGAGCATCTGCTTGGCATGCAGGGAGTCCCAGGTTCAATCCCTGGCATCTCCAGTTAAAAGAACCAGGCGGGAGGTGATGGGAAAGACCTCTGCCTGAGACCCTGGAGAACTGTAAAGAGGGGCCGTGGCTCAGTGGCAGAGCCTCTGCTTGGCATGCAGGGAGTCCCAGGTTCAATCCCTGGCATCTCCAGTTAAAAGAACCAGGCGGGAGGTGATGGGAAAGACCTCTGCCTGAGACCCTGGAGAACTGTAAAGAGGGGCCGTGGCTCAGTGGCAGAGCCTCTGCTTGGCATGCAGGGAGTCCCAGGTTCAATCCCTGGCATCTCCAGTTAAAAGAACCAGGCGGGAGGTGATGGGAAAGACCTCTGCCTGAGACCCTGGAGAACTGTAAAGAGGGGCCGTGGCTCAGTGGCAGAGCCTCTGCTTGGCATGCAGGGAGTCCCAGGTTCAATCCCTGGCATCTCCAGTTAAAAGAACCAGGCGGGAGGTGATGGGAAAGACCTCTGCCTGAGACCCTGGAGAACTGTAAAGAGGGGCCGTGGCTCAGTGGCAGAGCCTCTGCTTGGCATGCAGGGAGTCCCAGGTTCAATCCCTGGCATCTCCAGTTAAAAGAACCAGGCGGGAGGTGATGGGAAAGACCTCTGCCTGAGACCCTGGAGAACTGTAAAGAGGGGCCGTGGCTCAGTGGCAGAGCCTCTGCTTGGCATGCAGGGAGTCCCAGGTTCAATCCCAGGCATCTCCAGTGAAAAGGACCCTGGAGAGAGCGGCTGCCGGTCTGAGTAGACAAGGCTGAACTTGCTGCTGGATGAAGGGCCTGATTCAGCAAAGACAGCTCCATGTGTATAATCTGGGCAACAGTATGCTATGTGTCTGATAGCACATTATTCAAGAGTCAAATGTTTTCAATGCTATAAAGTTCACCTGCATACCCAAGTATGCTGTATGAGAGCATTCCCGTCAATATGCAATGTCTGTGTTCGACTTTGATTACTACAATTGTTTTGTTTTCAATGTTTATTTTTTTTAACTCAGATGGTAAATGCTGATCAGTGTCAAAGTCAGCATAGCTTGTACCTCTCTCAAGTACCATCTCAGTTATGCTTGCGGAAAACTACGGCAGTTGTACTTTTGAATCCCACAAATATGCCAAACGGTACAATTTGATGTGCTAAGTCCTAAACAATGTAACATTACGTGTCGTGTTAAAGCAGTAAAAACAGTTCAGGACTGACAGAATGATTGCATTTTTTTTTTTACTCAGAACGTCTGCCTTCCTTATCGTCAACATTTCCAGAAATTTTCCACCTCTTACTTGCTTCTAGAGACCCGTCAAACAGAGACGGAAGCAAGGCTACTCCACACGCAAAATCACACCGTTCTGCACTCCTCTGTGGCAACCCTCCCCACACGACACGTTTGCAAGCACTGCGTGGAATGTGATGCCCAGAATGGAATTTAGCACCCCAAAAGACTGCAAGTCGTGTCTGCATTTTTTTAAAAAAGGTTCTCGCCCTCGTGGTTTCGGAAGAGTGGACACACAGGATCCCCCTCACCTCCAGAACAGGGTAGTGCTCCAGGGACGGACGTTCAGCCATCGCCTCAAGAACTGTTTCGCACTCCTGAGAAATGGCATCTATTGACGTGAGAACAGGCTCCATTACGGCAGGAAACTACAGAAGGAAAGCGGGAAGAGTGACGTCGTGAGGTCAGGAATG